TTGTTTAATGCTACTACTAGGTCTAAGCTTGTCCCAAGTGTTCTTGGTAGAGAACAAAGTTTCAGAGATTCCCTCAATAAACCAATAGTAACTGTCCGAACCAAGAGAATGGTTTGGGGGAGTCATATCCAACAAGACTTGCCGTAGATTGTGTGTTTATGGTGGCTATAGCTGTTAATTGTGTGTTTTTGGTGGGATTTAAAGTATGGTCTATGGTGTAATGATATTTGGACGAGTAAATCGAATCAACCAGCTAAGTACCTGGTGATGTAGTGAATTGATAATGATGTGATTTAGATAATTAGTTCGAGTCAGAGTATCGGATGTAATAATAATTTTATTTACAGAAAACAACATCTGATATTATTTTGAACTGGAATCTGACGTGTAGTTGTAACTTGTAAGCTTAATGTTACTGTGAAACTGGCGGTAGCATTACATAACCGGGACTACCGAACCTTCATAAACCATTAGGAAAAAAAAGTTGCATACATTTTTACAGTAAAGATGCGCTACTAAAGTAAATGATAATAACATGATTAATGGTGGATTTAAAAAAATTATTTGATTGAATCATAAAGTAGATCATGTAATTTTGTAATAAGTATTAAATTATCGTAAAATTTTTTTCAACTACATGCATGTTTGTTTTAAAAAAAAAACTACATGCATGTAGAGTTTAGGTTTAGACACGCTAGCTTGATTATAAAATTGGTGTTTACCCTTTGTTTTTTGGCTTATGGATTAATTTTTGAACATTCTCTATTTATGCAACTTTTGCACTAAAAGAAGTAGAGTGTCACATGGTGCGCATGCAAGAACTCTATTTCTCTCAAGTGGATTTCATCGAAGATAGCCAAAGATAACACATTAATACGCCGCTGCTTATCAAATGGATTACACCAATACGCATCAGCATCATATCAAATATACACCTCAATCCAATGGAAAAAAGGGTTGAAATTTTTACCCTATGAATATGATGGATACAGAGGGATATTACTAAACGCTAACTCAGTGAAATGATTGCTTTTCTTTATTGCATAAACGATAGAACATCCGTTCACTACAAAAAACATACCACTTTCGGACGGACAATATGGTTGAAAATCCGTCGAAAACATCTATTATTATAACTAGACTAATGCCTGTGCATACGCGCGAGTTTGATTAAGAGTTGGTCATCATCTAAGATCTAAGAACCCGTCATGATTCATCTTGTCCTAAAAAAACATCGCCTATTGATAAAGCTTTTCGTTCATATATCCATTAGATAACTACAAAAGAAGGAGTAGTTAGACAAAAGGAGGTTTCAACTTCAGCTGAGCTGGCAAAAGAGCTGAAGTAAGTTAAAAATATTATTTGATTAGCTTTTTCGTAGAGAGGTTAAGGACATATATAAAGGAATTGCATATATTTGATGAGGACATCCAAACCATACCAAATTGCAAGCAAACAAAACCAGCTGGTTTGAGCATTAAACCAACCGTACTGGACCAGATTGCAAGTTTTGGAGAGTTTCAGCTTATCAACATGTGGTCCAGCCCAATATGGAGTTCACACAGTCATTTGATCAATCAAGAAGTCTCAGCTCATGGAGAAACACCTAGGAGAAGACCCGGATCGATACCGCCTTTTAAATCCATTATGCGGATCTATTTGGAGGTAAATAAGGAAAGCCTCTATTTCCCTTATCAAGATACGTTTCCATACTTCTTATGAGAATCAGGAGACAATCAAGATCAGATAGAAGCTTTACCACACGAGCCTTGGTGCACCTTATCACACAAGAACCTGCTTAATCATTACTTGCCATTTTTGGAACCAAATGAGATCAATCAGCAACGGCTCTTTCTTGGACACTGCTGCTGCGTTTTGAAGTCATATTCAGTGCATCTAGACGTCCTAAGATCGCATCACTTTCAGTCCAAGCTTTCAAGACTCAAGCATCAACAACTTGCCTTATATGGACCGATTTTCTCTTTAATATTCCAACGGCTCTCTTATTTATTTCCGTGCGATTTGTTTCTGTTTTTGTAGCCATTAGAACGTTGTAACTGAGCCTATAAAAGCTCAGCTCTTGATTCATTCTAAATTATCCTTGATCATAGATTAATACAAAGTTTCTAGTTTTTCTTTCAAAGTAGTGTCTTTGAAGATTGTTCTTGTTCTTTTGAATAAAAGTGTGTGATTCACTTCTATTCTTTAGAAGCCACGAATTAAGTGTGTTTGTGAGATTCAAACATCCTTGTTCGTCCATTTGATTGAGCGAGTCAATCACTTTCCTTCCATCTCTACCATCGTTTCCACATTCCGCAAGTTTAGGCTTGGAATCTCTCGATTATCGAGTGGTCTTAGAATTGGAGTGATTCCGATTCTATATCATTTGGTATCACAGCTTAAAAGCTCCTATCCAAGGTTATATCAATCCAACATATCTC